ATGTCCCACCAAGGTGACGAAACTTACCTCCCCGCCTTCGCCCCCGGCAAATCTCCCCACGAGTCCCCCTATATCTCCTACGGCACTCCATACCCCAAAGCCTGCGCCCACCACGTCGCTTCAACCTTCCACGCCCGCCGCGTCTACATCCTAGCCTCCGGCGCCCTAAGCCGCAACACTTCTGACCTCCCCACCCTCGTCAGCGCTCTCGAGTCTGAAATCGGCGACGGTGCCGTCGTCGGAATCAGAAAGGGCGTCAAACCCCACTCCCACTACTCCGACATACTCGAAATCGTCCACGAAGCTAAAACCGCGAACGCGGACATCCTCGTCACCCTCGGCGGCGGCAGTCTGACCGATGCGGCCAAAGTCATCGCCCTCGCCCTCGCCAACGACGCTACGACCCTCGATGACCTCGAAACGCTCTACTTCGACTCCCCGTCCCTACGCCATCCGCTCCTCCCGGCTACCATCCCAATCATCTGCATCCCCACCTCCCTCTCCGCGGGCGAATACACCCCCCTGGCCGGCGCCACCAACGACGCAACGAAGCACAAACACTCCTTCCAGCACCTCTCCATCGGGCCCCGCCTCGTGATCCTGAGTCCAGAACTGAGCACCACGACCCCCCTGCCCATCTGGCTCAGCACGGGCGTCAGAGCCATCGACCACTGCGTCGAGGCCATCTGCAGCACCGCCTCCACGGCCGAAGGCGACGCCACCGCCGCGAAGGGCTTGCGCCAACTGGTCCCGGGCCTGCTGGCCACGAAGACGGCGCCGCGGGACTTGGCACCCCGCATGCGCTGCCTGCTCGGCGCCCGGGACGCCATCGGCTGCGGCCTCCTGCGCGTCCCCATGGGCGCGAGCCACGGCATCGGGCACCAGCTCGGCCCGCTCGGCGTCGGCCACGGCGACACGAGCTGCGTCCTCTTGCCCGCCGTCATGCGCTTCAACCGGCCCGTCAACGCGGCCAAGCAGGACGCCGTCCTGCGCGTCCTGTGGGGCGAAGCCGCCGTCGCCGCCGTCCTCGCCCGGAGGGGCCTCGACCGCGAATCGGCCGACTTGGGCGCCGTGCTGGATGCCGTCGTTCGGGAGTTGGGCCTGCCGAGGTCGTTGAAGGAGGTGGGGGTCGGACGCGAAGAGTTGCCGGCGCTGGCGGAGGGCAGTTTGAGGGATCGGTATTGTCGGTCCAATCCGGTTCCGTTGAGGGAGAGGGGGCAGGTGATGGAGATTTTGGAGATGGTGGTTGGGGATTGATTGATGGACTTGGTCGGTGGTGGTAGTAAATTTCAGATAGCATATATGGATCAGATGGGCTATGGATCGGTACAAAAACATATGATGAATATGGACCGCGCATTCAAATTCATGCACCACTGCTTAACAACCCGAACGAAATGGGCCAGCAATCCGCCCGAAGTGTCGGTGTTGGATGTGATGCTTCTCTATAAACCACCGGGACGGGTATTGAACGAAAACCAGACAATGCCAACTCAGCAAGCAAATCTCGACCCGTCCTCCACGCCGTTCACCCCAAGGTGATCGACCAGCGAACCCTTCGGAGAAATACTCTCATCCGCCATATCAACGTCGTCTTTGGACGAGTCCCCATTCACCATCCCAGCATCCGCCCGAGGGCCAAGCCTCTCATCCAGCGCAGCTTTGACGGTGGTATTGAGCATCCTCTCCAAACTCGCCACTTGCTGCTCGGTAAAGCCGGGCATCTCGATGGTCAGGGAGTCCGCGGGAGCTTTCTCGACGGGCCGACTCTCATCGATGGGATCGACCGGAGTGGCGTCGTCGTTGTCGTTGAGATCGACCGCTGAGTCACCAGGGGCGCGCTCGAGCGTTCCAGTCTTTGGTGTTTTGGCGCCGAGTCGCTCGTCCAAGGCGGCTTTGATGGTGGCGTTCATCATGTTTTCCAGACTGGCTACTTGCTGCGGTGTGAAGCCGGGCATGTCGATTGTCAGGTCGTCCACGGGCGGGATTTCAGCCATGGCGAGATCATGGGAGGTATTTTGCGTCAATCCTGCGTCGTTGACTGGGGGTATTTCTTTCTCTTTCTCCTCAGCGAGAACCATCGTATCCATGAAATCTTTCACCCCCATATATTCGAACTCCTCCACCCCCAACTCCGCCAAGCCTATGATCTCCTCCGCCTGCCTCCCCTTGAATAATCCGTTCACATTTTCTTCGAACTTCTGGCGGACCAAGCCAGAAGTATCATCCCGCCACGGGTGCCCCATCGGATACTCCACCAGCACCTCTTCCATGACCTCGCCAAGGAGCGTGGCTTGTAAAGCATTGGCCGCACTGCGTTTCTTGTCATCGTGGTAATCGGCCGTAAATTGCTCATCCTCCACCAGCTCAATCTTCCTCCTGAGAACCTCAACCCTTGAATCAGTCGCCCAAGGCGAGCTGTCGCTGTAGTCGGCGGACGTGATCATGCTGCCCTTCAAGAGTATTACAGCGATCATGTATTGCATGCAGTGATCTCTATCAGCCGCATTGTGCAGTGGTCCCTGCTTGTTTATGATGATCATAGCCGCTTTCTGGGTTCGCACACGGACATGATTTATAGCATCTGCGATCGACATATCCAAGGGTGGTTCTCTCGAGCGCATTTGCCGGGCGAGTGTGAGGGCAGCTTCCACGGCTGAAGCAGCATGGCCTTCTGCTGCGTGTATCTTGAAGAATACACTTTCCACAACCCAGGTAGCGAAGGGCTTGGGAAGCTGGAACTCTTTGCCATGTAGAAGCGAAGTGTATAAGCCCCACTTTGGATCTGTGAGCACAGTTGGTGCGCCTGGCTGTCCCTTCTTGGCGAGTAATGCAAGGTGAACAGCCCGCATACAGGCATCCCCAGCTGCCCAGCCTTTGCGTGGTCCCGCATTTGGCGATTGACGGTAGGATCGTAGAGGCCCGGCATCGACAAAGGCATGAGACAGGGCGGCGAGACTTTGCGATTGTGATAGACCGAGGAGATGGGCAACGACGGCTGTAGAGGCGATGCGGACCAGGATGGTGTGATCGAGGCCGTGCTGGTTGAAAGCGTTACGTATTTGGAAGCAACCTTGGATTTCGTAGGCTTTGATGAGGGCTTGAAGGACTGTGCGCATAGTCAAGGGTGGGAATGTGGTGGTACGGCTGAGGTGGTCTGCGACGGCCAGTATGGCGCCAATATTGTCTGTAAAGGACGTTCAGCGCAGGTCCAATTGAGTTTGTTTCTCGTCTGTCTCACCTGAAGGGTGACCCCATTCTGCCCCCGGAAAGGCATCGCTGTGGTCCAGATATCGTATCAAGCTCCCTAGATCAAACGCTCCCTTGACAGGATCCAGCTGTAAAGAAGTGCCCGGTAGCCTGAAGCCATTTGGAGCAATGGTGCCCTCAACAACAGGCCCAATTAGATCCCGAGCTTCTCGGCTCTTCTTGAGCGTCTCGAAGGCACATCCCAAAGCGTCGAACAGAGCAACTTTGGCACGCTCCCATGCTCGCGGGCTGATCACGTCGTAGTGGAAGACGTAGCTAACGATATCGACGAGGACCTGGTCATATGGCAAGCGAGCGCTGTTATCTGCGGAGACCTCTGCCATGTCAACAGTGCCAGCCTGGGACTTTTCTTCGTGATGCTATTCGCAGTCATGATGGGTGCCGGCCTGGGTGGAAGCAGTGTTTCCAACGTGCCGCCGTCCCAACTCTGGTGGGTTGTAGCCAACATGTTGCGAAAAAGCTACCGAGTACCGCCGTAGCAGGCAGCAAGGGGTCAAATTCAACAATGCGGCTCAAAATCTTGCGATCTCGTCGTGACATGATTGATCATACCGGTATGTTGAACATCTTCGGCATCATATTGGGCATTTTCCTTATCGCAATCGATGACTTGCATTGACAGATATCATTGCTGATGGCGTTATGAATGATAACAGATTTCAGGAGGGAAAACGTCTTGTTTGGTAGGTAAAATCAAAGATCCCACATCCCCAGAGAGCCCTGGCGGATTCGAAACTCTCCACTATCTCCCATTGACTACCCATTATTGTCTCGCGCATGCCTTGACCCCACCCACAGGCATTCCTGGCGCAAACACTGTTCACTTTGGCAACTCCAGACGACCCGAACAGTTGCCATGAATGAATTCGCGGTGTATCTGTGGTTTTGTTAATGTTGTGAACCTGGTCTTCATTTGTAGAGGGTGTGGGGGACGAGGTCAGGATTAGCTTTGCGGCTCACCAGGCGTTCTTCAGGGTCAAACCTCCAGAAGCTTGCCGAATCGGGAAAGGCGCTAATCGCTAAGGGTCATGACATCCAGCTGAGAAGCAGTAATTTCTACAGGACCGGTACCTAAGATGGAGTGGAGAACTTCCGACAATCTTATCATGGGAATATGATCATACCATAGGATTAATGACTATTGCCGTCTAAGTGCGTGTCTATGTCCAAGTCTATCCAAGTCTATGTCGATCTATATTGTATCTCCGTCATCTCTATGATGGTTTCGCCAATGCCAATACGCCATGCCAGAATCAATAAAGCAATAGGATGATCTCTCACAATCGAGTCCTAGAAGCAGCATGGAAGGAGTGATTCAGCGGGTCACCGTTGACATCACCACAGACACTTGAATCGTAAGGCTCTCTCGACTACCCATTACCCCACGATGTGCTTATTACAATCACCTTACATCAGAAGCCTCTGACCTCCATCCAATCCATGAACGCCTGCATAAGGTAAAGACCGTGTCCAAACCATAACGCTTTGACACCAATACCAGGCCTCCCTCTCCGCATTTCCCCTTAGTGGTATGCACCAGTGTAGATCTGCTGCGGCCTCCAAAGGCGGGGGTTTCCGTTCATCGCTTCCCTCCAGTGAGCCATGACCCCCGGACATCTTGACATCATTGCCAAAGGCAGGATGATCTCTGGTGGAAATCCGCTAGAACAATGTTTATTAGTCAAAGCGCATTAAACGTGCGGGGAACGCGGAAGGGGAAGAGGTCAGGCTTACAGAGCCATGTAAACAAAACTACCGTAGAGATCGGCATTTGCTTTCAGATGCCGAGAGGTGAAATACTGGTCTTCGGACGCGATTCTGTCGATCTCCAGAGCGGTGGCTAGGAATTCTTTGTGAGCGGCATCCTCGTCTTTGAGTTCGTCGAGTAGCCTGCAGAATGATCAGCGAGGAGATATCGAGACGGTCATGGCGGACATACTCCCGAATAATAACGCTGCGGGGATCAACAGTCTTGTAGATTCGGTGACCGTAGCCAAAGAGCCGGCATTTCTTGGCTTTGACATCATCGATCAACTGGGGCACATTCTCCGGCTTGCCGACGTTCTGGATGACTTTGAATGCGGTGTCGATCGCGCCTCCATGAAGTGGTCCATACGCAGCTGTGAGGGAAGCAATCGTGCAGCTGAATGGGTCCGCGAGCGTGGAGGCGACGTGTAGAAAAGCGGCAGTAGAATTCGTCAGTTCGTGATCTGCGTAGAGCACCCAAAGCTTCTCGAGGCACTCGACGTGTTTAGGATTAGGTTTTTTGGTTTCGTCCTCGACGAATCCCATCATACGGAGCGTGTTCTCGATGAAAGAGCCATTGAGGTCCGCGGGCGTGAAGGGCTTCTCTTGCATACGACAAAATGACATTGCGATGACCGTAGCTAGCGCGGAGATCAGTCGAATGATCTGACTGTCCACCAAGTCCAGGTGTCCTTGATAGATGTTTTTGCCCATATAGGCCGGGATGACCGTAGGATCTGACCCAGTCCAGGCAGAGAGGCCGGCAATCATCATGGTAACAATGGGCGTATTTGAGCTGTGGAATTGATGAGCTGCGGAAGCGAAATCATACGAGTTCGGTACTTACGGGAAGGCATGAATCACATCTGAAACCATCTGCGGCGGGTGCATTGCCAATGCTAGTTGCTTTTTGAACATTTCCTTCTCTTCTGGCGATGGTAGTTTGCCCCAGATGAGCAGGTACGTGACATCCTCAAACTGCTTGGTCCCTACAAGCTCAGAGATGTCGTATTGTCTGTAGTGAATGCTACCCTCAGTGCCATCCCTAAAGGTTCACAGAGTCAGCGTCTGCTCAAGTGCATATCAGGTCTACAGGCGTAGTGTACTAACACAAAAGTGACCTCGGAAGATGCTACAGCGGTGTTTTGATATCCAGGATCAAGTAGGCGAAGACCACCCTCAGTTTTGTCCGTTTTGGCTTTCGAGTCAGCGCGTGCTCGGATCTGCTTGAACTGAGTCGCTTCCACCGCGTTGCGTCGGATGGGTATTTCGTAGTGATTGCCAGTGCGAGAGTCTGTGACTTTGAGGAAGCCAGAAGGTGTTGGTGGGGCCGGAAATCCACCGAGTGACTCCGGAAGATACTCCGGAAGAATGGATGACAGTCGTTTCTTCATTCGATATACGAGTTCACTGCATGTCGAAAATACCATGTCAGAAGGCTTAGAGCCTTCAGGAGAGGCCATCAAAAAATCAGGTACTAGGGATGCCATTGTTCTTCTCATTCGAGTTGAAGAGATCATATTGAAGATGAAGGAGACGAAGTGAACTTATGTGGTGCAAATATGAGATTGGATGTTGGCACGGTGATACGGGGTCAAAGAAAGAAATGTTCGAGAGCCAGGAAGCCACCCATGGGTCCATAATAAATATCAAATGATCCCTACCAGACCCATGGTGTACGAAAGGAAGGTCAGTGAGGGGAAACCTCCGCTCTAGCGGTGATCATCTTCAGAGATCTGCTGTCAATGTAAAGTACCTTGCCATATCTATCGCTCCAGGCGCCGTCTCGAGCTTGTTCAAAACTTAATGATACGTTGAGAAGGCCTAGCAAGCGCCCAGCCACTCATAAAGGAGAGACGTTTCATGAGAAAAAGCTCGCAGCACGATTTGATTGGTGCATCACGTAGAGCGCTCGAGGACTATTACTGAGCAAAATTCGGATACGGGACGTTTGGAAAGATTTCCAGTCAAGCCACCAACGAGTAGTGCTTGACAAGATAGGAAACTGCATGTAATTGAGTCATCATGCTACAGACGTACAGACCTCTCTCAAAAGTGGTTGAGGGAAGAAAAAGCTATAGTACGGTTCCTGAAATAAGTTGAACGCGATTTTGGTTGCAAATCCACGGCCCAACGGGAGCTCGACATACCTAAAATATCCTGATCGACAATCATCGTGCATAAACAACGGTGCCTAGTTGATGATAAGAAAACTCTGATTGATAAAGTTGTTCTCTTCATTCTTTTTGAAAGTCAGCCTCATCCTGTCGCGAGAGATGTTGGAATTCAGCCTTCGAAAACGGTTTTGGCCATAAATGGTTAGTCGGTCAGATATGCTTTTTCGCCACCACTTGCTAGGGTCGAGGGCCGGAACGACTTATCATTCTTGAGACACTTTAACTTTTTTACCTTTGAAGATGCGATGGTGATGTCGGACGACGGATATGCATGCATTTCAGCAAGCCTGGCTCGCATTAAAATCACGGGCTGGTGGAGAGTCACCCAACAATTAATCGTGTACTACTTTCGCCAGCATATGGTTTGCAAATCCATCGAGATCCATGTCAATGGTATAGTTGACTTTCCTGGACACTCGTATTCATCAATAGCGCTTCGAGAAATTGTGTTTGTGCACAGCTATAACCCGAGCCTTACCTAGAAGCGACATGTGGTCTCTTCCGTTGAGTTGAAAAGACGTCCAATGCCAGGCTCTGATGGAACATTTGCCTCCCAATAAGCACGATGTGACAGTGGTGAGCATGCCAAGAACACTTGACATAGCATCTGACGGCTGATGGATATTCGCAGTCATGGAAGGGGCCCAAAGACCCTGAGAACCCTCGAAACTGGAGCAAAGGCCGAAAATGGACCAACGTGCTCATCATAAGTGCTCAAGCAACTATCTCACCCGTTGCCTCGACCTTCCTGGCCGTCACAGACCTGACCGTAGCAGACGATTTTCACGTCACCAATGTGTACTTGCCTAGTCTTCCCGTCGCTGTATACGTACTGGGACTTGGTCTGGGACCCTTATTTCTTGCGCCATGCTCTGAACTATATGGACGACGAATCGTCTTCCTGACGGCTTTCTTCCTCTTTACGATCCTGAATGCAGGATGTGCAGTCGCACCGAACATGGCGGCGCTGGCTCTCTTACGATTTGCTACCGGAATGGCCGGATCAGCAGGACCTGGGCTTGGTGCTGGCATTGTCAGCGACATGTTTGAACCCAAGGAGCGCGGCAAAGCGCAAGCAGTCTATGGCCTTGGGCCTCAAGGTGGCCCTGTGTTGGGAGGCGTCATTGGGGCATTCCTCCTGGAGCTGACTGGAAATTGGAGATGGCTGCTCTGGCTCATGACAATGGCATCTATTCCAATGAACACGCTATCTTTCTGTCTCCTCCGAGAGACCTACGAGCCTGTACTGTTTGAGTGGAAGGCTAAGAAGCTTCGCGAGGAAACTGGGGACAGCACCTACCGAGTCAAAAACGGAATTAGGCCACGGGAGCTGTTTCTCCACGCCATGACCAGACCGTTCCGGATGTTGTTCACAGTCCCAATATGTACGGTGTTGAGCCTTTACACATCACTAGTCGTCGGGATATTCTTCATCCAGCTCACCACCCTCCCGCTCCTTTATGGTCCCATCCCCGAATTTGGGTTGTTCTCATACAAGTGGGAACATGGTCTAGATGGTCTTGCATACCTTGGCGGTGGCCTTGGCCTTGTGTGGGCCACGTTAATTGGGATCTTTGGCCTCAACCGCTCGCGTAAGTGGATGGCTACTCATTTCGGAAATGGCGAAGGGAGACCTGAGTTTCGACTGCCTCTCCTTTTCTTCGGAATGATACTTATACCCGTCGGCCTGTTTCTCTTCGGTTGGTGCGCACAAGCACGCGCCCACTGGGTTCTGCCACTTCTTGGTGCGGCCATCTTCAGCTGTGGTATGCAGATCGCCTACGTCTCGATCCAAGTGTATACTGTCGACACATTCCGGACTTATGCAGCTAGTGCCCTGGCTGCAAATGCCGTCGCTAGAGGCGTTATGGGATGCTTCCTCACCATCCTCGGCTTCAAAGTCTTTGAAAGCTTGGACTACGGCTGGGGAAGCTCACTGTTGGCGTTCGTAGCACTTGCTGCGCTTCCAGTACCAGTGGTTCTGTATATATATGGCTCAAAATTGAGGGAAAGAACCATCGAATCTTAAGACTGAACATTGAGCTTTGGTTCGCTGCGTTCGCGCTTGTCACAGGGACCTTGAGCCGTAGTCCAGGCACGGAGCTGCCGGGCAAAGTCACAGTCGAAGCGGTAGAAATCCTTCCAGACTGGATATGACTGGCACCAGAAACAATGTCTATCGACTCTCTAATGCTCTTGTCAATAAATCACGGGAAACATGAAAGCAAAACAATTTCTGGTTGGATGGCTGCCAAGCCGCTAGGACGGGTATCTATATTTAGCGTATGCAAAAAGAATGCCATTTCTTGGCATAGCGATTTGACTCCCACAACCGTCTGTCTTATTTTTGATTCCAGTAAGTGTAAGTAAAACATGGCAAGTTTGTTGTATACCAATTGTATGGATTGTTTTGAAGATTGCGGAAATGTTATATCATTTTGAGATCGATTGAAATCTCGTTGAACTCATCGTGATCAACCGTGACATTGCAGCCTACCGCTGCCTGAATCCTTACCCTCGCTCTTAACAAGCAATTACATGGAGTGCCATCAGGAGACACATAGCTATTGCATGTGTTAAAGGATTTAATTTCTTGTGAGATTAAGGTGCTATAGCAATATCATCAAATATCATAGACCGACTCCGCTGCTGCTGGTATCGTCTGCTATTATCTTCCATCCTTCAACAATGTCCTCCAAGCCGGCCTTCCTAACCGTTCCCTTGGAACTGCGCCATCAAATATACTCCCATCTCCTCATAAACGACGCTGTCGTCAAAATAGCTTCCGGGGCAATGGTGAAATCTCTACGAAATGGAATAATTCGCTCTTGTTGGCAAACTTTTCATGAAATGCTCGAGTACTATTACGCCAACAACACCTTCCTGCTCTCACTACTCAGCCCGCTAGAGAGCACACCAAGCCTTTTGAAACATCTAGGCCGCATGCAACATTTACAAGTCGAAATCGGAGATTTAGTGCTCTCGCCAACCCACACAGCGTTCTTCTTGCACCGGCACACGCAGCGGCGAAGTGAGTGGTTCTTGAATACCTTACGTCAAGCGAAACGAGGTCAGGAAGGGAGATACCTGAAGACTTTGGTTGCAATCGACCGTTGTGGCACTTCCATCGTATCTGAGTGAGTGTATTTCCGCAGCGAGTTCCAGCAGATTAAGGAGTCGCAAAACCAGTGCGACACTTACTTGAGTCCCGCATCTTTCTCGATCCAGGCAGCTTGACGTAAAATCGATACGGACGCTAATGGGCGGTACTAACAGAAGCATACCACCCACGGCGCAAATATGGAAAGATCAGAAATGGAGGGAGGAGAAACGAAGAGAAATGCTGGCAACCGTGCTGCGGCCTCTGTGCCATGTTGTTGACAAGATCACCATCGAGAGTCGAGCCATGTCTGAAGAGCGGGATCAATGGGGACGTTTGAGTGCGAAATTTCTTACAGTTGTGGGTGCAGGCATCGCTGACTTACAGACAGCCAGGACTTGGAATGTGGTCCTCAGTGTTGGTCAAGTTAGGCCACTGGCGTGAGTTGGAGAATATATGTTTTGCCAAAGAGGGAACACATACCTCCTAGTAATCCACGCCAAGGTACTCCAGCGCAAGCAATTAGGAGGGACAGTTGCACGGTCACCGCGCTGCCTGAGCAGGCGCGCTGCCGGAAGTAAATTGCAGTTGTAGCTTTACGAGTCTCAAAAACATAGAGACTTTCAACTGTGAGCAGCAGGATTTCTTTTCGCCAAAAGTTTGTCTGAGCCGGGTTCATGTGATGAAAGCGGAGACATTAGGCTTGATAGCCATTGGATGTGTGTCCGATTTAGAGGATGAGAGAGATAGATCAAAGGAGCATGGTCCAATATGAGGGATTCGAAGCATAAATTGTATCATTCAATCAGATGGAACACTCTGCGACGTAAAATGGCAGGGTCACGGACTCTGAATAGGGACTCAAGCAGCCAATTTCGGCTCCAACTCCTGAGACTATTGGTTGCTGAAATAACGAATTTGGCGAGTTGCTGGAAAGTGGGTCTAGCTAGGACGGAAAGTAATAGGTTGAATCTCTCTAGCACAGATTCACTGTGGTAACCCTTGGCCATTGCAACGGCCGAAACCACTTTTGAAACGTACAATGTAAAACACGCTGTGCCGCTCGCATGAAAGCCCCGTACTCAAACCCCCCTATTCTTCAACGCCCTCTTGAGCTTTTTCTGAAAGCCAAAGACATGATCCGGCCCAATCATGGTGTAGTGCGCCCCTTCGACCTCATGAAAGCGAGGTTCCGTATCCACAAATCCGGTCC